CTCTCACACTCTCACACACACACACACACACACACACACCCTCTCTCTCACACTCACACTCTCTCTCTCTCACACACACACACACTCACACACACCCACACACACACACACACACACTCTCTCTCTCTCTCACTCTCTCTCTCACACACACACACACACACACACACACACACAATGGGCTTGTGTCACATCCTGTGTGTATTTGGGGAATTTTCAGGTTCATGGAGGAAAACCAGTTGAGTTAGTTGAGTTGTTCTAGTTGGTTAATGTGGTTTATATTGAGCACAAAAATATATTTGTGTTTCTTAAATACTGCAGAGTCCGATCAATCAGTTTCTCCTCCAAACATCATTCTGGATCTTTTCCATCAAGCTCCGCCTCCTTCATCTCTACTGTGTCTTGATTATGCAAATGTTTCCATAGAGACCAGTGAGTAACTGGTGGTGTGATTATTAAGTCCGCCTCTGCCATTGTCTTAAAGAGACAGTACACACCCATCATCAGTCAAAGACACCGAATGTTTCTAATCAACAAATGCTTTGTGCAAAGACCAGCTCTCTCTCTCTCTCTCTATTTCTGTCTGTGTCTCTCTCTCTACTGACACATGTTAAACATTTACCTTTGTGGTTATGTTTTACTATGAAAGTTCACAAGTTAATGTTTTAATTTTAAGTATGGGGACACCGCTAGAATATGACGAACTGATACATCAAACATCAGCTGTGATCATGCGTGTGTGTGTGTGTGCGTGCGTGCGTCAGGTGCGGCCGTCTGCAGGCAGGAGCGGTTCAGCTGTGCAAACGGGAAGTGCATCACCAGCCGCTGGGTTTGTGACGAGACGGACGACTGCGGCGACGGGAGCGACGAGCTGCCAGAGTCCTGCAGTGAGTCACACACTCCTCATTACTGCACCGCTGCTGATGTTTACAGTCACTATATTTGCTTTTGCTTGATGAGATGACTGAGTGTGCGCTCAGAGATCCTGGATCTTTTCCATCAAGCTCCGCCTCCTTCATCTCTACTGTGTCTTGATTATGCAAATGTTTCCATAGAGACCAGTGAGTAACTGGTGGTGTGATTATTAAGTCCGCCTCTGCCATTGTCTTAAAGAGACAGTACACACCCATCATCAGTCAAAGACACCGAATGTTTCTAATCAACAAATGCTTTGTGCAAAGACCAGCTCTCTCTCTCTCTCTCTATTTCTGTCTGTGTCTCTCTCTCTACTGACACATGTTAAACATTTACCTTTGTGGTTATGTTTTACTATGAAAGTTCACAAGTTAATGTTTTAATTTTAAGTATGGGGACACCGCTAGAATATGACGAACTGATACATCAAACATCAGCTGTGATCATGCGTGTGTGTGTGTGTGTGTGTGTGTGTGTGTGTGTGCGTGCGTCAGGTGCGGCCGTCTGCAGTCAGGAGCGGTTCAGCTGTGCAAACGGGAAGTGCATCACCAGCCGCTGGGTTTGTGACCAGACGGACGACTGCGGCGACGGGAGCGACGAGCTGCCAGAGTCCTGCAGTGAGTCACACACTCCTCATTACTGCACCGCTGCTGATGTTTACAGTCACTATATTTGCTTTTGCTTGATGAGATGACTGAGTGTGCGCTCAGAGATCAGTATGCTAACGCTCACTCTCCGCCGCAGGCCACAAGACGTGTTCGTCGGGTCAGTTCAGCTGCGGCGGGCGTCTCAATCAGTGCGTGTCCAGCAGGTGGCGCTGCGACGGGAAGTCTGACTGCGAGAACGGCGCAGACGAGCAGGGCTGCGGTACATATAACCATCTCAAGCTCACTTTACTAGATGACAGGTCGCGTGTTCAGCTGTGTTTACGGTGGTTCTGTTGTTGTGTTGTTTTAGTCCTGAGGACCTGCGCCGACGAGGAGTTCCGCTGCCGCAGCGGTCAGTGCGTGTCGCTGTCGTTCGTGTGCGACTCTGACTCCGACTGCGACGACGGCAGCGACGAGGCGTCCTGTCCCGCGCCCACCTGCGGCCCCGGCTCCTTCCAGTGCAATAACTCTGTGTGCGTGCCGCGGCTCTGGGCCTGTGACGGGGACACCGACTGCGCAGACGGCTCTGACGAGTGGCCGCAGAACTGCGCAGGCGGCACGGGTCAGCAGCCGCAGACGGTCTGCCGCGATCACGAGCTCCTGTGCGCCAGCGGCGAGTGTGTCCACGGCAGCTGGAGGTGCGACGGAGGCTCTGACTGCGCAGACGGCTCAGACGAGCACAACTGCAGTGAGTCCACGCGTGTTTGATGTCTGATGCAGAATGCAGTGTGTCTGAGATCGTTCGCTCACGTTCTGTGTCTGTCGCAGCCGCGCTCACCTGCCGTCCGGATGAGTTCCTGTGTAACGACGGCAGCTGTGTCCCGGGGATGCGGCAGTGTGACGGGAATCCTGACTGCCGGGATCGCAGCGATGAGGCGGACTGCGTCACCGGTGAGCGTCGCACGCCGTCCGTCACACGCGAGAATGTGATGAAGCTGCTGTCTGACCGTAACTGTGTGTGTGTCTGCAGTGCACGCGTGTGCCGGACCGAGCCGGTTTAAGTGCGGCAGCGGCGAGTGCATCCGCGCAGACGGCGTGTGTGACGGTCAGAGAGACTGCCGCGACTGGTCAGACGAGCCTCTCCAAGACTGCAGTGAGTTTCACTCGGTGTTCCTGCAACAGATGTCATCCTTTACTCCTGAGTTTCTTCTGCTGAACACACAGGAAGAGATTCTGAAGAACCTTGGTAGCAAACAGTTGTTGTCCACAGTATGGAAACAATACTATATTAGTCATTGAGGACCACATTCTTCAAAATCTCTTTCTTTGTGTTCAACAGAAGAAACTCTTACAGGTTTGGAACGACATGAGGAGATGAGTAAATGATGACAATGTTAATTTCTGGATGAACTAACCCTTTCAATCCAGTGTAAATGTGAATTTCCAGCATCCACCTCTTCTAACTCTCGCTGGTCAGCTGATGCTGCGTCAGTGTGTGGCATCACTTTCACAAGCCTTTGATCCAGCGTCCTCACTGATCTGATTGGCTGCTGAACTCTAAAATCTGTTGAAACTGATGATCATGTGACGTGTGTTTCCTGCAGACACTAACGAGTGCCTCACTAACAACGGCGGCTGTTCCCACACCTGCAGCGACCTGAAGATGGGATACGAGTGTGTGTGTCCGGCCGGATTCCAGCTGATCAACCGCACACACTGTGAAGGTGAGCTCCGTCCCGATGAGTGCAGTGCATGATGGTCCGTGAGTGTGTGTGGTCTCATCACGAGTGTGTGTGTGTGTGTGTAGACGTGGACGAGTGTGCAGACGCAGACAGATGCACTCAGATCTGCATAAACCTGCCGGGCAGCTTCAGGTGTGACTGTAAAGATGGGTTTGAGCTGGATCACATGACCAAAGACTGCAAAGCGGTAACAGGTGCGTGACTGAACCGAAACCAGTGATCAGAGGGAATTATGGGTAACGGCTCAGAGCTTGAGATGCATGTGTCCTCCCGCAGGATCCGGTGCGTTCCTGCTCTTCAGCACGCGGCACGAGGTCAGGAAGATGGCGCTGGGCAGCCGGACATACACGGCGCTGATCCGCCAGCAGAAGAACGTGGTGGCGCTGGACGTGGATGTTCACAGCGACAGGATCTTCTGGTCTGACGTGAGTCTGAAGAAGATCTACAGGTGAGAGACGCTGACTGACTGATTGACAGTATTGAGAGTTATGTAATCAGATTACTTTTTTCATATAATATTTCAATCAGTATTTCGGCTCTGTTTATTTGCTAGTGTAATGCTGAATCAGACCATCATGTATTTCTGTGTGTGTTTATAGTATATCTCGCGTGTTTGTGTCCCGCAGCGCCGCGGCCGCTGACCCCGCCCACCACAGCACTGTGATTGACAGCCGGATCTCCCGCCCCGAGGGTCTGGCGGTGGACTGGGTCCACGGGAACATCTACTGGACAGACGGCGAGCTGCGGACAGTCTCTGTGGCGACGGCAGACGGCAGCAAACGCAAGACGCTCGTCAGCGAGGGCCTGCAGAATCCGCGCGCGATCGTCGTCGACCCGCAGCGCAAGTGAGTGTGTGCAGACGGGATGAAGTGTGTGTGAAAGCGTTCGTACTGATTATTGATCTGTTGTTTCACAGTTTCATGTTCTGGACGGACTGGGGCGAGCCGGCGCGGATCGAGAAGAGCGGGCTCAACGGCGCTGACCGCACGCCTCTCGTCACGGATGACATCGCCTGGCCCAACGGCATCACGCTCGGTGAGTCACACAGATGATGCGTGTGAAGCTCCGTGTGTGCCGTGTGCTGACGCGTGACGCTTTGTGTTCAGATGTGTTGAACGGCCGTCTGTACTGGGTCGACTCGAAGCTGCACACACTGTCCAGCATCGGTGTGAACGGAGACGGGCGGCACACGCTGATCTACGACGAGCAGAAGCTGTGGCACCCGCTGGCACTCACTGTGTTCGAGGTGCGTGTCGGCCGCTGAGCCGTGAGCATGTGTGCGGTTCCTCAGGTGCTCATGTGTGTCTGTCCCACAGGAGAAAGTCTTCTGGACTGACATGCACAGTAACAGCATCTGGAGCGCCAACCGCGTGACGGGACGAGACATCGCCGCTGTGGCCGAACATCTGCAGAGTCCTGAAGACATCGTGCTTTATCACAGTCTGAAACAGCCTTCCGGTGAGAACCATGGCGCTTCACGAGTCACTCATTCAGCGCTCGCCGTGTGCCGTGTGTGTTTGATGCCAGTATTGCTCCGTTTATCTGTGTATCTCAGTCGCTGATCTGCATGTTTGTTGTTGTTCTGCAGGAAGGGACTGGTGCAGAGACGCGGCTGCGCTCAACGGCGGCTGTGAGTTTCTGTGTCTGCCGGCGCCGCAGATTAACACACGCTCGCCCAAATACACCTGCGCCTGTCCTGATCACATGACCCTGCGCGCAGACATGAGAACGTGTGTGTCAGGTGCGTTCAGACCCGATCTGGATCACTCCAGACGGTTTCATCGAGACGCTCACCGCTGGCTGTTCTCTGTGCAGGTGTAAACAGCACGGCGTCGAGCAGAACCACACCCAGACGCTCCGGATCAACACCTGACCATCAGCAGCAGACACGCGCCACACAGACGGGCTCTCGGAGCGGTCAGTCCATCCTCCTGTCTGGTGCACGTTCATCCACTCCGATCACACACTTAACATCTGTCTGCCTCTTTACAGGAATTAATGAAGAACACGAGCCGGTTTCCAGCCCTTCCCAGCACCCCACAGTCCTGTACATCATCCTTCCAATCGGTCAGTAAACCTTCATTCTCATGATACACACGAGCCGCTCACTGACCGATCGCCAGCGTGAGTGACCCGTCTGTCTCTCTCTCTCTCTCTCTTTCTCTGTGTCTCTCTCTCACAGTCGCCATGTGTCTGCTGGTGGTTGGCAGCGTGTTGCTATGGAGACACTGGCGGCAGAAGAACACCAACACCATCCACTTCACCAACCCAGTGTACCAAAAGAAAACAGACGACACGGTTCACATCTTCAGGAGCCCCAGTCTGGACGGATACACACATCCATCGGTACGACTCACTCACTCACTCTCTCTCTCTCTCACACTCACTCACTCACTCTCTCTCTCACACACACGCCAAACTGATGTTCAGCAGCTGTCAGTCACACACACGTGCTGTTATCAGATGTTTTATGTAAATCTACATGAATTAAGAGCACTGTAAGCAGTACTGATTCGTCCTGATGAGGCAGAAACATGAAAAGTTACTGATCGATTTGACTAGAACAGAAGAGTCATTTGACACATTTGATTGATTGACTGAACTGATGTGTTTAGATTCAGCTATGAATGTCCTCAGACGGGATTAATGTGTGTGTGTGTGTTTGTGTCTCAGTGTCAGATGATCAGTATGGATGAAGACGCAGCCTGACGCTCCTCCAGAAGTTCCTCCAGAAGCTCAAGGTCACTTTAAATGCTGCTCAGCGAGCTGAAGGAAACGCTCGTCCACATGTGCGAAACAATCCCAGGATCAGCTCTGCTTTTTATCATGCCTGCATCATATAAGGAATGAAGACACTCACTCACTCACACAGACAGACAGACAGACACACACACACACACACACACACTCATATCTAACGTCATCACAGTGAAGAGCAGAAGATCTCAAACAGACACTCGTCAGGAATCTGCTGGATCCCGAGGCTTTGCCACAAACACGCCACTGTTTTCATTTGTGATTCGTGAGCTTTTAAGGTCCTCTTATTGAAGGTATTACCACTGTGTAATATTTAAAATGATCTTTGTAAATGTTCTTGAGTATGTGGAGGGCAGACAGGTGTCTCTCTTCTTGCACTATGCTCGTTGACTGTCACAGATTTTATTTATATTTCTCCTTCTTAGACACTTGAACAATCTGTTTGACTTTGTTTTGATGAAGTGCTTGTATTTATGAATGCACAGCGCTACTTTAGTAATAATGAGAATGACAGTGTATTTGTTCTGCGGTTCGTTTGCTCACGCGTGTGAAGTTCTGAATTCTGGGCCTTAACTCTGATCGTGCCTGTGTAGCGTTTGAATGCGTGAATATCCCACGATGCCTTCGACACGTGAACCAGTGCTCAGGGTCACGTGTCTGCGCTGAGATTCAGGTGACCTCTGACCTCCGTTAGAGCCGCGTGTTTGTGTTCTGTTGTTGTTGTTGTGCACGCTTTGTTTATGACGAGGCTAGTGCAGCGTGTTATCTGAAGGATCGGAGCGTTTGCACTGTTATCAGACGAATGAAGAATCACAAACGCTCCTCAAACGTCTGCAGTCTGTCTCTGTAAACACTCGCCTTTATCACACCGTCTTTGTATGAAGAAGGCTCTTATTTATTGTGTAAATGTATGATTTTGAGTTTCTTGCTTTTATCTTTTAAATGTGTTGTTTATCAGATGCGATATAGAAAGCTCATCCAGAAATCGATGTGCACTACAGAGGGAATGAACCTGTGTCATTCAGGGACTTTTATACGTTTATGAAGCATGAAACAGAAATATAAAGCTGTTGGACCAGACTGGTGAAGTCTTGAATGGATTCTCATGCCGTTACTGTTAATGCATCATCTGAGGCCAGTTTTGCTTTTGTGAAGATGGGATGAACCCGTAGGAGTTTTAATTCTTTATCTCAGGACTGATGGTCCAGTGATCAGAATGAAAAGACACCCAAAGAAACAACTCAACTGTTTTTGACAATGTTTTTAAATAAATGCACATTTTGAAACCAGAAATCAGTGTGTTTGTGTTGATTCTCTCTGGTGCGTGTTGGTCTGAGATTCGCTTTCATCCAGGGGTCAGATGTTTTATGGGCAGCTTCAGTGTCTATCATAAAGCTGAAGATTCGCCTGAAGAGTCACAGTCTACACCCCTCCATTCATTATTAAACACTGATCGTGGCGTTTGTTCACATTCACTCGTCAATATCACATGACTGAACGTCACTCTTGCTCTACAGTATTTAATCACATATTCCATCGTCTTCAGATGTTTTTTCATGAATCAGAGGAACTCCGGGTTGAATCCAGGTGATGATGGATATGAAGTCACCTTGAGGACGTGTTCAGGTCTGCTTAATACAGTCTGGTCCAGATCTGCAGTAACTTCTGGCATGCTGTAGAACCGGCTTTAGTGCATCCACGAGAGCATGATGCATGTGTGACACTCTTAAGAACAGCGTGTGGCATTCACTTATTTAACCACACATGTATTTAAGGAACCATATCTATCTGTAGAACCATGTTTATTCATGGTTTGCTGGTTTACTCTTGAAATGCAGCATTCTGCTAATACTGTTGCTCACTGATAATAACTTTGTGTATTTCTTCATCTGTGAGTCTTGAGAGCTTCACACATCAGAGCTGAAGCTGACTCCTCGTGCAGTAATGTTAGGCTTAGGTGTGAGTTTAGATCCGAAAATCAGGCCAGACTTCATTATGTGGCAAGGAATTAAAATTCAGCACAACAGCAGGCCTGTGTCTGCCGAATGACCCGCCCATTTCCATCGGATCAGTCATCACGTGTTCTCTGCTGAGGATCTGTGTGCAGGTGAATAGTGACGCCGTCCAATCAGCAGCTCGCAGCTTTAGAATATTCTCCTTCTGATGATCTCATTGGTCAGGTCCAGCGCGATGGGCGGGGTTTTAAACTCACACCACGGCAGTGATGCGGCAGGAGGGCGTGTCTTGTGTGTTGTCATGACGATGAGAAACTGAGATCTAATTTCATGCAGATTTTGAGTCACTGGATCTTCTTTTATGTTCTGTAATGTACAATCTTATTATGATTCATGAATAGAGTCACCTACGTTTGAGATTTTAATGCAGGACTTTGCCTCAGTGAAGAAACACAGATGCAACAAAACTCAGCTCAAACTGTATTAAGTTATGAAAATGCTTTTTTCTTGGCTGTGATCCTGATCCAGTGTTGTTTGATATGCTCGTCTTGTCCAGTTTTGTATGAATTACAGTGCTTTTATTTTTAATCAGATAATACATAAAGTGTTCAAGTTATGGTATTAAAGCTAGAAATAGTGTGATGGCGATTCAGAAGCTGCTGTAATGATGAACTGAAGGTATTTCACTGAAAGTGTGATGAATGTTCTGTTGATGATGAGTTGCTGTTGCACACGAAACATTTCATGTGTTTGTTACTGAATCCCAGAAGATCAGATTTCCTTCCCAAAGGCAGCTGGAGTCTAACAGAAACACATTGTTGTGTAGACAGACAGACACACACACACACACACACAGAGAGAGAGACACACACACACACACACAGAGAGAGAGAGAGACACACACACACACAGAGAGAGAGAGAGACACACACACACACAGAGAGAGAGAGAGACACACACACACACAGAGAGAGAGAGAGACACACACACACACACACACA